GGGACCTGCTGCGCTGGAACTCCCGGTGCTTGCAGCGGTGGTCCCGTCAGCGGTTGAGCAGGCATCGGCGGCGCGGGAAGTCCCGGTGCAGGAGCAACTTGTTGCTGCGCGGCGTGTGCGTCAAGGAAATTAGCCATTCGAACGTCCATCATTCCCGGCAGACCTTCCATCACATCCTGGAATGCCCGCAACAAGTCTCTCACCGAGTCTTCCAGTTCTGCTAGTCGTTCCCCGGTGGTTTCTTCCGGGATGGGGTCCCGAGGGCGGTAGTCCGGGGGTGGGTCATAGTCCTCTTCCGTTGGGAAGACTCCGGTGCCCTCCTCATCTCCTGCGTGGCCCCGCGGTCCCGACGGCTCGAACATCCACTCCTCGAGGTCCCGCTCGGGGCTCCCCTTCTCCGAGGTAGCCCCCGGCTCCGGGAACAATCCCTTGTCAAATAGACTCTCACGTAATCCGCTCCCCCGACGGGAGTACACCTCACGGGTGCCCTGGGTGTTGTACATAGTCCAATCATCCTGCTGGTGAGTCTTCCGCGGACCCCATTGCGAAGGGGTCGGAGGCGGCCAAGACAGATGTGCAGGCAGGCGGGGAATCGCTCCCCCCACGGCACCCTCCAACGAGGCTGCAGTCGTGAACACCAAAGACGCGGAGGTTTGTGGGACCGATCCAGAGTCCCCCTCCGTGGTAGGTAGGTTTCCCTCAATTCCGCTCATGATCTCGCCAGATTCGGAACGATAGGAAAAAGAGAGTTCTAACAATATGTTGGATCCCCAAGCATCGAGAATAAATCCACGTTTTAAGAAAAGCAAAATTTATTTCAAAGCGTTGACGACATACTCAAACACGTTCTTTGTTAGAACTGGGGATACACAGTTAGATCAAGCATAATAAAGGAACTTCAAAGAGATACAGGTCCAATGAATAACTTTCCCGCTGGCGGGCTAATGGAACGGTTGCGCGCCCAGTCCATGGGAACCAGGCAGGATATTAGACATAACACAGGTGCAGTATTCATGGGAAAAGCAATAGCCAAGCATTACAGCATCTTCTCCCCCACACAACCTCCAGCAGTTATCTTTTGCATTCCAACGCAGGAGTAGGATGATAGAAACCAAGCCGGGTGCAACAGGGAAAGGATATGTACACAGAGGTCACAGAAAACAGAATGGCAGCTTGCTGACACTTATGTATGTTCTTATGATTATGCATGGGATAGAGCAGGTAGAGAAAGAAGAACTTTTATCCCTTTCTTACAATACAAGAACTCGTGGGCACTCAATGAAATTGCTGAGCAGTCGGGTTAGAATGGATAAAAAGAAGTACTTCTTCACCCAAAGAGTGATTAATACATGGAATTCACTGCCACAGGAGGTGGTGGCGGCTACAAGCATGGACAGCTTCAAGAGGGAATTAGATAAACACATGGAGCAGAGGTCCATCAGTGGCTGTTAGCCACAAGGTATAGATAGGAACTTTCGGTCTGGGGCAAGTGATGCACTGTATTCTTGGTGCTTGGGGGGGGGCAACAGTGGGAGGGCTTCTGGAGTTCTGGCCCCACTGATGGACCTCCTGATGGCACCTGATATTTTTGGCCACTGTGTGACAGAGTGTTGGACTAGGTGGGCCATTGGCTTCTCTTATGTTCTTATGATATATCACAGTGGTTCTTCAGAGTTAATAAAGCTGAGAGACATCATACACTGTGTATTTTGGACATCAAGTGATTATATGTTACCTCTTAGTTTGGTGTAGTGGTTAAGTGGTATAGAGAGCCAGTTTGGTGTAGTGGTTAAGTGCGCGGACTCTAATCTGGGAGAACCGGGTTTGATTCCCCACTCCTCCACTTGCAGCTGCTGGTGTGACCCTGGGTCAGTCACAAGTTCTCTTATAGCTGTTCTCTCAAGAGCTCTCTCAGCCCCACCTACCTCACAGGGTGTCTGTTGTGATTAGGGGAAGGGGAAGGAGATTGTAAGCCGCTCTGAGACTCCTTCTGGTAGTGAAGGGCGGGGTATAAATCCAATCTTCTCCTCCTCCTCCTTCTTCTGGAGGTCAGCAGCCCTAGGATAGAAGAAATTTGGTTTTAATACTACAAGGCAGTTCTCCCCTTTTGAAGTATTCCAGGAGTGTGATTTTTTCCCCCAGCAAGCTGTGAGAGAGATCATTGTGAGTTAACCAGTATGAATCCATAAACTATATTTCCCTCTTCTGCTTGTCCTGAAATGGATATTCTGACAGGCTAATGAATGAAAGTGAAACTTGAAGATCTTATATTTAAAAATAAAGAAATCTCTTCATCTACTCTGTCAAATACAAGTGAAAATTAATGGACTCTTCATTTCCTTTTAGGTCAAGACGACTTGGTGGCTGAGGAAGATGAAGTCCTGACTCTCTTGTATGACCCATGCCTAAACTGCTATTTTGATCCCGAAACTGGGAAGTACTATGAACTGGCATAGCTATTCCCCAGGCCACAGAACATGAACCCCGGCTCAGGACTCTTCCAACTGTCAGTCCTTTGTCACGTTTTCTATTCTGCAGTGCAAAGCTTTATGTCATTTATTATCCGCAAATGAAACAGAATGCTTGTAAATAATACAGAATCTCATTTCTGTAGATTTGTACTATTTTAACTGAACTGCTTAAGAAGCTTTGGTTGGCCAGCTGACATTATGTAAAATACTGAAATGTTTTGGGAGGTTAATTTCTGAATGATGATATGATGAATTTTTTTCACTTGTTTGTTCTTTCATCTTGGATAATTTAAGTGGCTGTATTATATATTTATGCTTCAGAAAATGCAATGTGATGTTCAAAAATGCAATGTGGTGTTCAAAAGAAAGTGTTCTTGAATTGTCTTTTGTCTCTTTGTTACTGGATGAAATAATGATTCCTTTTTTTGAGATCTCAAATGGTAGTGCAGTTCTTTAAAAAAAACCTTCTTATAATCCTCAATATAAGGCACACATGGCTTTTTAATTCTGAATTCATTTAGCCATCTCCTGGCTAATGCGTATCTCTGATGCACATTTGCACCACATCACACTCATAATAGGGTGTGAAAAAATGAAGGTAATGTTCACATTTTTGCTGTAGCTCTGCCAGAAAGACCATGGGTTCAGGCCCGTAGCTAATGCAGGGCCTACGGGGCCTGGCCCCCTATTGTTTCTTCCAGGGCCCCAACCCTGAGCCTCGTCTTCTCCTCCCCCTGAGCCCCACAGTAGCTACGTGCCTGTCGACAAAAATAGAGGCTACACGAGATCACAGGTCCGATATTACAAGACCATCTTCTGCAACCAAGGAGAGGTGGGTGAATCTCCTTGTTCGCATAAGGAAGAGGCAATCCGATACGCTGGGGGAGGCAGGGGTGTGTGTGTGTTGTATGACTGACAAGCAGCCTCCCCAATGCCTGGAGTGGAGGGAGAAAGAAGGAGAAGCACAAGCAACGGACCCCCCCTCCCCCTGCCTGAGCCACTAATGGGAATGGTTGGAGGAAAGGAGACAGGATCGCCTGGAAGAGGGCTGTGCCGGCTGTGCCAGAGGTGCTGCTCAGGGTGCCTTCCTAAGCAGCCACCTGGAGTGGGCACTGGCAGGGACACCTGAGATGGCAATGCTGCAAAAGTGTGGGCGAGTCCTCCACGTGCCTGGCAAAGAAGTCATTGCACGGGACAAGGCACAGGATCCCAGCTGTGCACTCCACAGCTCCAAAGTACATTGGCTTACAGTTAGTAGAAGAAGAGGAGGAGGAGGAGATTGGATTTATCTCCTGCCCTTCACTCTGAGTCTCAGAGCGGCTTACAAACTCCTTTCCCTTCCCCTCCCCAAAACAGACACCCAGTGAGGTAGGTGGGGCTGAGAGAGCTCTGAGAGAACTGTCCTTGAGAGAATAGCTCTGACAGAACTATGGCTTGCCCAAGGTCATCCAGCAGCTGCGAGGAGTGGGGAATCAAACCCGGTTCTCCCAGATTAGAATCCGCGCACTTAACTACTACACCAAACTACACTGCGCACGTAACCACTACACCAAAGCCAATCGGCCCCATCCAAACCAGCACAGTTGAGGGGGGGGGGGGGGAATGCACGTAGCTCCATACAGACATACAATGGCTGGCCCCCTGAGTAAAAAATTGGCCCCCCCAAGCAAAATGTTGCCAGCTACAGGGCTGCATAGGTTACCACGGTCCAGAGTCACATATGAAAGTCATAGGCCAAACCAGACGTAATGCTGGGAGTTCACTGAATGGAACTTTTGGTGGATTCCCCCACTTTAAATAGTAAGCAGGTGGTGCCCAGGTTAGATCAGAATGGTGATGGGATGTGTGTGTGCTGTTTTCTAACCTGAAACACCCACACAGAGGTCCTGTTTGCCCCACTGAGGAACCATACAGATATCTCTGGATTTGCTCCAAAAGGGCAAATTCAAATTCCATTGGGCCATTTCAGATCAGGAAAATGTGCCAGTGGGGGGGGGGGGAGCCTCCCTCCATGCTCTGGTCTCCATCCATCCCTGCACTCCTGCTATTTAAAGGTGAAAGTTCCATTCACAAAGTTCCCAGCAGCCCATTGGGTTTCGTTTCACCCTTCTGTAACACCATGCTAAAAGACAACCCCCGGCATCACTGATTAAAGGATCTCCGATCTGGTTGTTGGGACAGACCATTCTCTGATGCCCTAGGGAGAAGTTGTCCGTCAGAATAAACACAGGGAGCTAGATGGACCCATGATCTGATTCAGTATGACTCAGCTTCATATATGAAAGGAAGAATGCAGCCAGGGGATTGACAGAAGGAAACCTGAGTACAGTCTTTTAACAGCTGGCAAAAGGGGGAAGAATCAGATATTGGAGAATCTACCAAGGAAGAATTTGGCTGTTATTGGATGTTAGAGAAAAATATGGAGTCAAAGATGACTTCAAAGTTGTGTGTGTCTTGAGACTTGGAATATGAAAGGTCACTCAACTAGTGACGAAAGAGGGTAAGGTTAAGGTCTGAGTTCGGTCATTTCCAAATTCTGAGGGCCTGTGCTCGGTTGAGTTGACATTACACATGCCATATTTTCACAAATTGAACCTCTGTACTCAAAGGTTCTTTTGGCTACAATATTTGAACAGACTGCATCTGTCACAACACATACAGTCTTACCTGCTGCCAATTTTCCAAACGCGGCAAGTGCAGACGCCGTTGCCGAACAGGAGATCTCATTTGACAAAGCGTCAAACTCAGTGACAGTGTCACTTACAGGATGTCACGCCAGCTGTGTCTGGTCACTGTGCTCCATGGCTCAGTTGGCATGTGGCATATGAGAAATGACAAGGGGGATTCTGACATGGCCTTTGTGTGCACAAACATCCTGGAACTGGTGGTTCGTGACAATATACTTGAGGCTCTGCTCTGCCTGTTTCCTCCGCTTTGAGGAGTCTTCTTGAAAGCAGAAATGCAAATGTGTCACCTGACGTCTTTTTTTTCATAGAAAACCCAAGGTCACAGACAATAAAAATGGGGAGAAAAGGGGAAAGGGGGAATTGATAGAAATCATATCCAGATATACTCAGAGGAGTCAATAATTATTTTGAAGACAGAAAAGATAGTGGTAATGAAATCACTAGGTAAGAATACCTTGAAGAAATCAGAAAGCCAATAGTGATGGTAGGGGTTTTCAAATGAGCAATTTCTTTTGTAAAGCAGTACTTGATATTAAAGTGGTACCCACAAACTCTGATGTTCATAAATATTTGGTGATTCCTACTGGTGGTTTTCAAAACATAGATGGATTTTAGAGTTTTCATGGAAGTGGTTTATCAGGAGGGGGAACCTTAGTTATGTGTTGGATTACAGGTTGAGGAGAATTATTAATAGAAATATCAGGATGGGTTATTAAAGAGGTAAATTATTTACTTTGTCTCTCAATTTAAATTTGGTTGTTTAGGGGGGGTTTGGGGGGGTAATGGCTTTGTTTTTAACTAATCAGGTTTTTGAAAAATCATAGCATCTCTCTTCAGAGGATATGTTTGACACTTTTTAATCGTAGTTTCAAGAAAATAACAAATGTGATTCATTTGAAATACAATCTGAAACACATTGTCAAGTACTAAGCATAGATTTAGACTAATAGCAATGAGCAAAAGATCTGCATGCTGATCTGCCATTGTGTGGGTGTAGTCAGTCGCTGCGCATGGAGGGAACATTCATTCAGCACGCAGATTGTGTATCCAGGCTTTCCTGGCCAACCAGTCTCTTGAGGGTCCTCTCAGCATGTTCAGGTGAACTTCAGAAGATCGAAGATCCGCATGACATCAACCCAAAGGTCCTGTAAGCTGATATATATCTTGAACCAAAGTTCTCTGGAGCCAATGAGTATGTTTCTGCCACAAGCCTTGTGGGCTGAGCCATGTTCTCCAAAAGCTCCTCCTAGGATGTAGTACCACACTTGCCTCCTGAGCACTCTGTAGGCTAGTCTAAAGAACTCCACCAACAGGCCCTAGAAACCCCAGCCTGAACTAATTGTCTCCTCATCAGAGGACCTTACTGTAACTCCTTCCTGACCCCTAGCCTGGATGTGATTAATGAATGGATAACTGACCAAATCATCTTTCTCAAGGAAAGACCACAGCTGCCTGACCAACCATAGCTGGCCAAAGGTGTGATGTACCTCAGAGCAAATCCGATACTCCAATTGTGAGCACAGGTCTAATAGGGTTGGATCCTGTCAGCTTTTCCAAAAGTGCAAGAGGGAAGAATGGCCCCCACTTGACTCCCAAGGATAGAATGCTGGGGGTCATGGGGCCTGCATTTACAAAAAGCCATGTGACAGAACTGTAGTAAAGGGGGAAATAGAGCAAGTGGAAAAGCTGGTAGGTTATAATCCATCCCAGTGCCCAAATTGTGAGCTGCTTCTTCAAAAGGGTACAGTCCTGTCTACAGCAGGGTGATTCCTCAATCCATGATTTAGTATAGAATTCTTATCATCACTGAACACACTTTTCAATAGTGTAAATAGCAAGAGCTGAACAAGGGGGCCACCCACAGAAGATCAGAGTCTTGGTAAGTAGTCAGGGGGCTTCCCAAGTCTGCAGGGAAAACATAGGCTTGTAAATTGGCAAAAAGGAAGAAAGGGGGGGAACCCAAAAAACGGCCTGATTAGGACTGAGTATGCTCTGGGACCTGGGACCAGAGCAGCTGAGTGTCAGATAAAGGAATGAAGGGGGGGTGTAAATGGCCACTTTTAAGTTTAGAGACTCCTGGAGGGATTCCCCTTCTTGTAATTCCTTTAGGGCTCCAGCTCATTCTTATTAAGCATCCCTTCACCTGCCTAGCATCTCCGGGTCATACCAAAGCAAAGAACCAGGTTTCCCAACAGTATTAAGGGTTCAAGGTAAGGTTGTGGCGAAAGGGACTGAAGTCTGGGATTGCCTGTCATGCCTTGGGGAAACACAAGTTTCGAGTCACCTCTTGCGGAGTTT